GTGGGTTGGGGGGGTCGCAGGTTGCCTGGTGGTCAGTGCGTAGTTTCAGGTGGGCTGGGGGAGTCTCAGGTAGCCTGTGGGGGTCTCAGGTTGGCTGTGTGGAGTCGCAGGTGGGCTATGGGGGTCTCAGGTGGCTGTGGGGGTCTCAAGTTGGGCTCTGCGGATTATTATCATTAATAATGTTTTCTGTGTTTTTACTTTTTATCAGTTTTTTTATTTGAATTTCTTTTATTTTTTTTCACTTAACTATATTGCTATCGCACAGGGGTTAACAAGTTCCTGTGTGATAGCCTTCGGAGGGGACAGGTTCTCTGTATGAGCCTGCCCTCCAGTACAGACTGTGGACTCTGGACTTAGAACGAACTGGACTCTGGACTTAGAATGCAGTAGACTCAGGCCCGATGCAGGCCTACGCGATCCGGGAACGCGAGTCCTGGGATCGCACGGTCTTGCACAATGCAGGCCGCGATTGCTGTGCGGCCTCATTGATTTCAATGGGGTGACATCCGCACAGCAATCGCAGAAAAAAGGTAAACAATGCGCAGCTGTTTTAGCGCAATCCGCCCGGCGCGACTAGGTTGCAATTAGAAAATAATGGCACACCTACAGCACGATCGGTGCACGCCTAGGCGACTACTGACTGGGCGGAATCATGCACGATTGACGTGCGGTGGTGTGTCGTCTAGGTGTGCACAGACCCTTAGGAACACACTAGACTTGGGGCATAGGAAAGCACTAGACTCTGGACTTTGCAACACAGTGGACTTTGGACTAATCACAGATAATACAAACACGACCCCCCCCTCCCCTCCTACCTGATTGCCTGCTCTGTCTCTATGCAGCCTTCTGATCTTGGTAGGACACCCTTGGCAATAAATCTGGTAGGTTACTAGCTAATCTGGTCAAAGGCCAAAGGTCTTCTACACAGTCACCTGCCTGATAGATTCTGAGGGTGTTGTCCAACGGGACGCCAATTCAGTGTCGGAGATATTTCGATCCTTCTATCAGAACCTATATACTGCCAGTTTTCCAGACCCTGCTGTGGGAGATTCTTTTCTGGGGTCGATAGACTTACCATCTCCTTCCGAAGAGGACCTAAGTTCAGTGCCCTGCCTGACACTTTTTCACAATTATAAGAAATTATAATATAAGAAATAATTATAAAAAATTATAATAAAATAATTTAAAAAATGGTCCAGTAAATGAGAATTCTGGGGCGCAGCGTGATCCGTACCACAGTAAATAAAGTACCAAGTTCGCACATCACTGAGCTCGGTCGCAGAATTGTCGCTGTCCTCACTTTCAGTGTCTGTTGAGGAATTTCCCAACGAATCGCTACCACTCAATTCTGCCTCCTCTACCCCATGCAAACACTGCCAATTCTTTTTCAGCATAGAGATACCAAGGCCCTCACGAATGCCTTCTTGAATTTCCTCTGGAAGGGGAAGAAACATCGCATTGCCGCACACAAGCTATACAAACACTTCTCACAGTTGGGGACCAAACTACCTAACATACGTCTCTATAACTTAGCATGTATCTTTAGACATATCCGAGACTGGTTATTCAGATCGTCAGACTATTCCCACCTTACTTTAGAGGAGGCGGCCACAGCTCCATGGTCATTATCGGGGATCATACACACACCACTGCCTTTACTCCCTGATCAAATAAAACATAACAATATATTTAGAGACACCATTATAACCTGGAGGGAAACTCGTAAACTCCTGGGAATCCAGGGCCAGGTATCTCCACTCATGCAAGTGACATCAACCCCAGGCTTCCCACAAGGGGCATCGTCTAAACGCTTTAAGGAATGGGAAGAGAGGGGAATATCACGGTTACAACATCTTCTCACACCTCAAGGTGACTGCATCTCGTTTAACACCCTGCAGAGTAAATATGACATCCCTTCATCACATTTACTACAATACTACCAGATCAGGCATTTCATTAGACGAAACTTTCCTCCCTCTTTTGGAAGCACAACACCTATCCCCTTCACTATGGTAACCCGACCTTTGCCATCGAAAATGTCCCTGTCTCATATTTACAAGCTACTCAAAGACCACATCACCACCGACGATCAATCTCCCCAAAATCATGTAATACAATGGGCTCTCTTTCTTGATCTTCCCTCGGAGGAGGTTCAAACCATACTCACTAGGTGTTGTCAAAGAATCCGTAAAGTCACCACCTGTGAGGCATGGAGGGAAGTACAGTTTAAACTGATTAATAGAGCCTACTGTGCCTTTAATTTCAAACCTAAGAACACCCACACTGACAGACTTACTTCTTGCCCTAAATGTGACACTCCATTACCTGACTTGAATCATCTTTTCTGGAACTGCCCAAGAAATGCGTCCTTTTGGGATCATACTTTATTGTACATGCATAAAGTTACGGGCAATACCCGAAGCACACACCCTCTACTATGCCTACTCGATTCATCTGCCGACATAAGCACTCCCCTTACCCCGCCGCTGACAAGCTGGGAACACCTCTGCCTGCTTGGGGCCAAAAAGTGTATTCTTCAAAACTGGATATCAAAAGACCCTCCCAGTTTCTCTAACCTGACCCTTATCCTATTCAAGTTTCTCTCCATGGACCTGTTAGAGCAGAAAGCACAAACCACAGAACAAAAATTTGACGTATCGGAATGGGAAGGTTTCATCCATACAGATTTAACTGTGAACCATAAAGTAGATCTACGGGTGTTCATACTGGCTACGACGGGCCGAGCATTGATTTAATGAACGGCCTAACC